GTACATTTCGAGAGAAATCGATGTGTATGCGATCCTATGCTGGTTTGGGCAGAGAATGGTGGGCAGAGTCGGTTGCAAATGCTTGCTATATTGTGAACCGGTCTCCACATTCAAGGTTAGATGGAGATGTACCTTATAGGGTATTGACAGGAGAACATGCAGATTATGAGAAACTCAGAACATTCGGATGCACAGCCTACTATCATGTCAACGAGGGAAAGCTTGATGCGAGGGCCAAGAAGGCTATATTCTTGGGGTATGCGGCAAGTGTTAAAGGCTATCGCCTTTGGTGTTTAGAGGATTCTAAGTTCATAATCAGCAGAGATGTTACTTTTGATGAGAACTCCATGGTAGTTTCGTTGAAAGCTACAGTGCCCGGTGGTGATGATGTTGAGACTACAATGTCTCAAGTTGTTGACATAGAACCTAGAGATCAACCTGATTCTAGGCATGTTCAAGAGGAGCATCAAACAGACACTCAAGATGAGAGTGATGATGCACTTGAACAAGAGGCGATTCAGCAAGAGAATGTACAGGCACAGCAACAGCAGCAGCTTGCAGATAACTTGGCTTCCTCTAGGCCACACCGTACTTATAAGCAAGTTCTAAAGTTGGGGTCAGACGAGCCTTTGAGGCACCATGGGCAGACAAATTTGGTTGAGTATGCACTCTCGGTGGAGGATGATGAGCCTACCACTTTCAAGGAAGCTATTTTAAACAACAATAGCAAGAGTTGGTTGGCGGCAATGGAAGAAGAGATGAAATCACTTCACAAGAACCAAACATGGGAGGTTGTCCCATTGCCTATAGGTAAAAAAGCTATTGGTTGCAAGTGGTTGTATAAAAAAAAGGAGGATCCTACCAAACTCGGTGGTACAAGATTCAAAGCGAGGTTAGTGGCTAAGGGGTTTGCACAAAGAGAGGGAGTTGACTACAATGAGATCTTTTCTCCTGTGGTCAAGCACACTTCCATTCGGGTGCTATTAAGTATTGTTGCTCATCATGATCTTGAGCTGGAACAACTCGATGTCAAAACCGCCTTCTTGCACGGGGACTTGGATGAGGAGATCTATATGCATCAACCTGAGGGCTACAAGGTTGAGGATAAGGAACGTCAGGTATGTCGCTTGAGAAAATCACTATATGGATTGAAGCAATCTCCTCGGCAGTGGTACAAGCGTTTTGACTCCTTCATGCTAAAGCATGGTTTTTCCAGAAGTGAGTATGACTATTGTGTTTATATTCGGAAACTTCGGGGAGGTAACTATATCTATCTTCTTCTGTATGTGGATAAAATGCTTATCGCTTCGAAAAGTAAGGTGGAGATAGATAAGTTGAAATCTCAACTTGGTAAAGAATTTGAGATGAAGGATATGGGGGCTGCTAGGAAAATACTGGGTATGGAGATCAGAAGAGAGAGGACGAACCGGCGAATGTTCTTGAGTCAGAAAGGCTACATTGAGCGGGTTATTGCTAGGTTCAGGTTGCAAGGTGCAAAGTTGGTGGTGACTCCATTGGCTCCACATTTCAGGCTCTCTGGTAAACAGTCTCCTACTACAGCGGAAGAAAAGGTACGCATGGATCGTGTGCCTTATGCGAGTGTAGTTGGCATTTGATGTATGCCATGGTTTGTACACGCCCAGATATTTCACAGGCGGTGAGTGTGGTCAGTAGATTCATGGCGAATCCGGGGAAGGCACACTGGGAAGCTGTGAAGTGGATCCTGAGGTACTTAAAAGGTACCGCGGATACGGGTTTATGTTTTGGTGGAGATGCATGTCATATAAGTGGGTTTGTGGACTCGGATTATGCGGGTGATCTAGATAGACGACGATCTACTACTGGATATGTGTTTTGCATACATGGTGCCCCAGTTAGTTGGCGATCGATGTTACAGGCTACAGTTGCTCTTTCTACTACAGAGGCCAAGTATATGGCCATGGCAGAGGGAGTGAAGGAAACATTGTGGTTATGGGGTCTTCTAGATGATTTGGGAATTGAGCAGGATTGTGTGGACTTGTGGTGTGATAGCCAGAGTGCGATTCACTTGGCTAAGAATCAGGTTCATCATGCTCGAACCAAGCTTATTGACTTCAGGTATCATTTTGTGCGTGATGTTATAGAGGAAGGTGATATTTCACTCTCGAAGGTACACACAAATGAGAACTCAGCTGACATGTTAACCAAAGTGGTAACGGGTAGCAAGTTTCAACATTGCTTGGACTTGCTTCAAATTAGCCCATGTTGATATGCCCGAGTGGGCATGGCCCTTCGGGGCGGGGTTGAAATGAGGTGGAGAGTTTATGAAGGTGGAGGTGAACTACGGAGGCTTGATCCCGAGTTTTAGGTACGTAGGCAACCATGGTTTGAATGGTACAGTCGAGTTTGGCGCTTCCTGCTTCTTCTTGTGTTCGTCCAAAATTTGAGGTCGATCAAATGATGTACGAGGTGGAGAATTGAAAGTGTGCAGGGAGTCAGGCGCCATGGCGCCCAAACTTGAAAAAATGGACAGTGAGGCTGGCGCCATGGCGCCCATGGTTCTGCTTGTTCTTGGCGCCATGGCGCCCGATTCAGTCTATATATAGCTGGTTTTTCCCCTTCATTGGAACCCGATTTTTGGAGAGAAAAAGTGAGAGAGCTTGGATTGAATTTAACAAGTAAGAGGTTGTTCTTCTTGGGTATAAATTCAAAGCTATTTTCTTTTCTTGGTGATTAACTTGAGGCTTGTTCAAGTAATCCAATCCATTGTTCTTCATTTATATATTGAAAATCATTTCTTCCCCATTTTCTTGTTCTTCAAGTGGTTTGGAAATTTTCACATTGTCAAGCTTAATTTTTTGGGCAATCTTTGGGAGGTCATTTTCCCAACAAAATTACATTAACTAGTTTTTAGAACGCTGTTAAAAAAGTTGAACTTAATTTGATAAACTAATATGTTTAGAAGTACTGAATAAAATTAGATTTTATTTGATATTGACTCATCATAAAAATAAAAAATAAACAAAAGGTGAATTCAAATTAAAATTTGTTAAGATCTTGAGTTAATATAGAGATTGAATTGGTTAATCATCTTTTAATTTTATTTATTTATTTATTATTATTATTATTATTATTATTATTATTATTATTATTATTATGGATATCTTACTCCACTGATAATTTAGGATATGTAACACGTTAAATTGAATATGAATTGATATATTTTTTTTTCTTTTTGAGAAGTTTAGTGCCATAAAATTTATCTATTTCTCAATATAGTCTCACACGAATGTCATTAAACCTCTATTTGAGCCCATCCCATTTTCTAAAAATTAATTTTTAATCACCCATTCTCCGAATAAAATAATTTTAATTGCACATAAACTCAACATTTTCCCTTACTATTTTTAATCATATATTCTCAAAAAATTCACTATTACAAAATCTATTTTCAAAAG